GTCCCCCAAATCCTGTTGTTTTAACGTTTTAACGTGCACTAGAATAGGTCCATTTGAATTAGTGGAATGTATGAAGAAGTTGACTCACTAAGTTCCCACAGACTCAGTGGATCTACTCTAGTGAAATGTAACTACACTAAGGGATGGGATTTCAGCTAGTGGAAGGCCATAATGTAACTAAATATGGTAACAGTGTTTAATAAGATGTGAGCAAAGGACAAATGCAATCCTCAGTATGAATTTCTTTTGTATACTTCAGAATGAAGGTAGGGAGTAAAGTGTATGCAAGATTCTACTTTTCATCTAAGTTGCTCAGCCTCCTCCTTTTCTCTGAAATCTCACCTGGCGGTGTCTGCATACGATTCACCATCTGGTTTGGCACACTGGAACGAATCATATTTGGGTCAGGAAGAGGACCATCTGTAATGCAAACAAATAAAATTCGTGACTTAATACAGTTTTACAAGTAACAGTTTCTTCTTATGTATACAAATAAAACCACTAATTTACTTGAAACCTCATTTAAAATGTTTTAGTTTAAAAATCTGTTTAAACTATTATTTTAAAATGTCAACTTTTTTTCATTCTCAAGTGCTTTAAGACATCTGAAATCTTCAATCTTGAGCAGACTTTCACACTTAAATCCCATTCTGTACAACTATATCAGTTACCCAAACTGAATACTGTACATAAAAGTATTCTTTCTTTCTTTCTTTCATTCTTTCTTTCCTCCCTCAGCTTGCACAGACGCAAGAAAATTTATAAAAAAGATATAAAATTCCACAAATAATTAAAAATATACTAATTACAATTTTAAAACTATGAAATATAAATACAGTTTAAAACACTCGCTAAAATCCTATTGGAACAGTTTACACTGTATAAATCTAATGAGCTGTCTCGATGTTTTGTAAATAAAACACTCCTAATTCCTCCCCAAAGGTTCCAATGAATCACTTTCATAATGGGAAAGCCACTGAGGGCTGCAGGACATCTAAATGGCAGACACTCAGTACAGTGCTGCCTTGCAAAACAAATGCCTCGTGGGACAAAAAACTCACAGTGGTTTTTCGAATGGTTTTGGTGATGGGGTTGATGAATCACAAGACAAATGTTC